CACTCAAGCATAGCAAGGATTGTTAGGGTGGCACAGGACTGGGCAGTGTTTCCTTCTGTTGTACACAGGGTCGCTATGCATTGGAGCAGACTTGACGCACCTAACAACAACAACATTGCTTCTTCTACTTCTGTTTGAAAATAATGGCATTCCCCAGGATTTTTCTGGATATTCTTAGGTAATAGAAAATTTCACGATCACTTTACTTTGCAAACACAGTCTCAGTCTTTTTTTTTTTTTTACAGAAGTGTTAAGTTCCATGTAAAATCAAAACTCTGAACATGTTTCAAACATAAAACTTTTCTTCTTTTCCAGAAGCCTTCAGCAGACAAGAAGCCAGAGGAGGCCTACATGGTCTGCCTCACTTTCCTTGCTTTGTGCTTCCAGCTGTTACTCCAATCTTACTAACCATGGTTTTTGACCTCTTTAGAATGAAATCAAGAAGAGAGGATAGAAAAGGAGAATAGAATGGTTATTCCTTGGCTGGCATCCTAACAGGAAGACTCTGCATTCTCTAGGCATTGCAGATCTTGAGCACTTTCATGGCTCCTCAGAGGCTTCTACTGGGAATTGTTTTTCTATACCTCTCACAACACAGGCACTGCATTTCTCTCTGACTGCTGCTTCCCCTGAGGTCCTAGTTTCTCAGCAGGCCACTCCAGATACATGCTATTTTGAGGATTCCATTGTCCTTCCCAGTGATTCTCTTTGGCCAGATTTAAAATACCTCTAGCCTGGCTCTCTTTCTCCCTCAGGCTCAAAACTGCCTAGAGGACCCTTCATCCTCCCTTTATCCAGATATACTCTTGAGAGTATGATCTGATTCCAATATAATAGCATCCTCTCTGCTCACAAGCAAAGTAGCCAGCCCTTTGGTTTCTTGTGTTCTAGATTTTCCAGTGTAGAATCAAGTGAATCATCTGACTGGTCCTAGGGTACCTCCTGTGAAATTTCTGCTATGTAGTCTGTCTTGCAACTCACTTGAATATCTTGGTGCCTTCGATTAAATGTCCAGTCTAACTTCCCATCACAGTATTGATTTTCTAAACATTATTAATTACAGAATCAAGTGGTATGAATGGAGTTATAGAGAAAGAGAAATAATCCTACTTTCTAAAACTTCAGACATTTGAAGGAGAATATATTTCAAACATCGAAGTCAAATAGATTCTCTTCTCTTATATTGCAACAGTTGTCCAAATTCATGCCATATTTTAATTTGCTTCATACTTGGACTCTGACTATCTTTGAACAACATTTGGTTTTCTGGGAATTTCTAATGAACTTCTTTTTCATTGTTAATAGAATAAGTTTCTAAATTATGCTATTTCTTATAGTCAATCCACTTAATTATTGCAAACATTTTTCTTGGTGCCCCTGAATTACTGCTCTGTTTGGATCATTGCTTTCTGGGTAGACTGCACAGTCAGCATCCTGATGATTTTACATTGCACTTTTGGGTTAAGTCCACAGCTTCTCAGTTCCATGTTCTGCTTTTTTTTTGGATTTTACATTAGTTCAAATCCTCTGTGGAATATATGCCAAAACAAGATTAGACATACAAGAGATTTACTGGGGAAAACATCTGTGAGGGAAAATGAGGAGGGAACCAGAGAAGGTAGAGACAGCTATCAGATTAAGAAGTAGATCTGAGCCTTGTGAAGGACAGAAAGAAGGGGTTAGGTAAGAGTCTCAGATGGCAGCACACTTCTAAGAATTCTTTAACATGCTGATATGGGATGAGGAGGTCTTTGAGCCAAAGTCAGATGCCAGAGGGATCCTGTAGATTTAGAAATGGGCATATATTACTATCCTTGTCTTCTTCTGTCATTGACTTAGAGCAGCTCAGGGAAAACATGACCTCTGCAAGAATGTGTAGTAGCTGGCACTATCAGTCAATTATACTTCCCAGAGCAGAGATTGGACTGGTGTGTTTTCAGTGCTGTCACAGATACCTTTCTTATTTTGCTGGAGCACATACTTAAGTAAAATTTTCAGAAAGGATGCATGTGGCCTAAACTTTCAGAGTTCTTATATGTTTGAAAATTATTTTTATCATTGCACCCAATTGATATTCTGGCTGGATATAGAATTCTAGGTTCAAAATTGTATTTCCTCAGAATTTTGAAGTCTCTGTTCCATTTTCTTCCAGGCTTTAGTGTTGTTAAGTACTCTGAAGCTAACCTGAATCAAGTTTCTTTATAGAAACCTTTCCATTCTCTTAAGACCCTTCATGTAATCTTGCCATTCTGAAATTTCATGAGGATATGTGTGTGTGTGTGTGTGTTTAACTGATACTGTTTAGTACTTGGTAAGCCTTTCAATTTTCAAACTTTAATCTGTCTTTAGCTTTGGAAAATTTTTCTGACATTTCTTTGATTACAGATTTTTCTTCATGTTCTGTATTCTCTTTTTCTGAGACATATATTAAATATAGCTTAGGCCTTCTAGATATTCCTCTGTGTCTCTTCATTTTTCTCCCATATTTTCTATCTTCTTGCCTTTTGTGGGATTTGGAAGTCTTCGTTTTTGAGCTAAAAAAAAAAACCTTTCTTATTGCAAATTTATTTGTTGTTGTTGTTATGTGGTGTCGAGTTAGCCCCAGCAAGAAGTCATTTAGCCCAACCTATCTTCTGGAAAATATGGATAGCTTTAATAGATAACATATGTAGAAGAAGAAAAAAGTATTAAATATAAATATAATTAAAATGTAAAGACAATATACTTTTGTGATGATTAAAATAATTTAAGTGAGAATTAGTTTATTTTAACTATGATCTTCTGCAGCCATGGCTATCAAGTTGATGCCAACTCATAGCAACCCTATAGGACAGAGTAGAACTGCTCCTTTGAGTTTCTGTAAATTTTTACAGAAGCAGACTGCCTCATCTTTCTCCCAAAGAGCAGCTGGTGGGTTCAAACTGCTGACCTTTTGGTTAGAAGCCCAGTACTTTAACCACTGCACTATCAGAGCTCCTCTCTTTTAGGGAGCCTTAAAATGCACTAACCATTATTTCTTACAGATAAAACATAATACTGTAGATTAAAGCCAGACATTCCTTGCACTCAGAACTTCCAAACCTACTGATATTCACAGAAATTTATGGTTACACAGAAACCTGTATAAACCCTAGACTTCTGACATTTTCATCATCTAAAAATATTGATTTATTCCTTGTTTTGAAGTAAAGAGTAAAAAAACTGTAAAAACATATTTAACACAAAGTTCTGTGACTAGGAATATTCTTGGCCTAAAAACAAGGGATAAATGCTGAAAAAGTAATGTATATTCTGTTGTTAGTTATTATCTGAAGAATTATACTTTATTTCTTTACATTAATAAACTTTGTCTTCATGAAATTGTCATGTTAAAATACTAAAGAGGTAGAGGGAACATGCTAGAAATTTCAGAATGAATGAAATTCACACACACACACACAAATGCAGAATGCAAATACATTTTTTTCTTTAAGGTGGTAAAACCTAAAGATTGTTACTGAGGATATAAACGTGAAAAAGGTCCCTGGTGTTAATGTATATGGACATACTCTTTCTAGCTGTGTATTAAAACTAAAGTTCTGCTTTAGCTTGGCCATCCACCAAACTTAAGTGTATTTGACAAATACATATTTATGACATGTTGGACTTTAAAATAAGTATTAATCTATTATCTATAGGTATATATATTATTTTATTTTTTAAAACCAGGGCTAGAGACTGGGTTCTTAAAAGCTTGCAAGTAGCCATCTAGATGCAGCATTGGGTTTCTCCTTGTCCAGAGCAAAGAAGAATGAAGAAAACCAAAGATTCATGGAAACAATGAGTCCTTTGGACTGATACACCATGCGATCCACAGCCTATACGACTATGAGACCAGAAGAACTAGATGGTGCCCAGCTACCACTGTCATCCACTTGAAAGGGGATCT